TTTTAAGTAATGTGATTAGCAAAGTAATTTTAAAAAAAAAATCTGAATTTCCCCGTCTTTAAAAATAACTATTCGCCGAAAAATCACAAGTAGTCTATTGCACGTCGTTTTTTGGGTCTACATTGCAATTATTTTATATAAGGGTTATGTTGAAAATATTTAATAGTTTGAGGGTCATTTTCACAATTTCAGTTACTCTGTAATTGTCAAGCCAAAGCAATGCGAAAAAACAAAAACTTTGGAATAGATTCTGCAAAATATCTCAGAATCAAATTGACTCATTTCCCAAATTCGAACACGAAGATCTCATAGTGATCGAGATCTGGGGAAAACTAAGTACCACGAACACAGTACAGTAATGGCGATTACTGCGACAAGACTGGTCTCTCTCACACTCTTGTGGATCGTCGTCCTCTTCGTCACACTTGCTCTAATACAGGTTTTAATTTGATCCTTTTGATTCCTCAAAATTTCTGCTAGTTTCTCGATCTGGGTACTTACGTTTATAGCTTTCAATTTTGCAAATTTTTCTTTCTTTAGGTTAAATTGACTGATGTTGCGGATCCTACTGAGAAGATTGCTGATGCTAAGCTCAATCAGGTGAGCATTTCGCATTTTTGGGTTTTGTGAAGATGTGAATAGAGTTTGTATAATTAGGGTTTTAGAAATTTCTGAGATTTTTGTTTTTTTGTTCAGGTAGGAGATGATTTAGAAGGAGTCACGCATAAAGTTTACTTTGATATTCAGATCAATGGTTCACCTGCAGGTTATATAAAGTTTCCTCCTTTATTCTGGAATTTGGATTAAGAAAAGTCTGATTGTGATATGTGTAGTTGATTTGAGGATGTTTCTAATTGTGGGTTTGGCTTAAACGCATTATGTGATTCAAAAGACATTAGTCTTTGAACTTGAAAATGCTCTCATCTTTTTTCCAGTTACACTGTTGTCTCTAGGTGAAGTGGTATTGTAACTGTTGGCTTGAAGCTCAGAAATCTTTCTACAGCTTATATAGTAACATTTGCATTTTGTCATGTTTAGGACGCATTCTCATTGGTCTTTTTGGGAAGGTAGTTCCTAAAACTGCAGGTATAGTTTCAATTTACCGTGATTGAAATCTTCAGATCATCTCTGTTTCTTGTTGTTGAGGAGTTTTTTTCTTACCGAATCCATGATTTCTTTTTGCAGAGAACTTTCGAGCACTTTGCACGGGTAGCCAAGTAACCTTTGTTTCACCCTTGTAAAACTCGTAGTCTTTAGCTTTTTCAGTCATGCCTCTTCTGAGACAAGAGACTCTTATTCTCTCTCGGTGCAGGAGAAAAAGGAGTTGGAAGCATGGGGAAACCTCTTTACTTCAAAGGAAGTAGCTTTCATAGGATCATTCCTAGTTTCATGATTCAGGGTGGAGATTTTACACGAGGCGATGGGCGAGGTGGAGAGTCAATCTATGGCGATAAATTTGCTGATGAAAATTTCAAACTAAAACACACCGGCGCAGGTATGCGCCAAAGCTAAACTAAATCTACCTCTTAAGTTTCAGTACAAAGGACTTACGGGTTGAGTTTGCGAATGGATTTCAGGAGTTTTATCAATGGCGAATTCGGGACCAGATTCCAACGGTTCACAATTCTTCATCACAACAGTCACCACGGGTTGGTAAGTAGGCGGTGTTGATAACTTGTTTTTTCCCAGTCTCTAGCGTTTGCAATCTCGGTTTCGATTCTGTTTTTGACAATGTGATTACGAGATCTTTGTCCGTTTTGTGTGTTTGGCAAAAAGGTTGGACGGACATCACGTTGTGTTTGGAAAGGTATTGTCTGGCATGGATGTAGTACGGAAGATCGAAGCGCAGGGACAAGACAGTGGAGAACCTAAAGGAAAAGTTATCATTTTGGACAGTGGAGAGTTATCTTTGTAATAACTTGTTTCAAGTTTCTAAAACTTCAAGATGAAACACAAATTACGTTCATCAACAGTGATTAGTTGCATGGATATTTGATTATCTAATGCAAAACCCATAAAGAAAGTCATATGAAAGATGGCTCAACACTTAGGGATGATAACATATAGTTCCATTGACATCTTATTAGAAAAAACGAAGTCATCATATTATTTTCAAGAATCATCAAACATAATCTGTAGTTATTCGTTAAAGATAAATCAAACTTATTTGATATCGAAAAGAAAAAAAGAGATGCGAAAGTGTACATTTTAAATTTTGAAAGAGAATGAAAAAAGAAGCATAAGCATTATCTGAATCATGTGATTCTTAAATCAAAAGTTGTGAAATTTGTTGGTATCATGAGGACCCATAATCTTACACCTGTTTTGCAACAAAAATATTAAATATTTGGGGTCAAACCTCAATACATATTCTTGAATCAAAACTTGTATTGTTTATGTTGGAAAATCAAGAAAAGGCTCTTACAATTCAAGAACTGATTTTCCTTCCTTGTACTTCTGGTTCTTGTCATGGGCAATCTCCTAGAAACATAAAAATCACAAAACCAAGTTTAAACTCCAAAATCGAATCGAACATTGATTATTATGTTCGTAACCAAACTTAATGATGTTTTTGTCTTACGTATTTCCAGCCAACGTTTGATCCACAACCAACACAGAAAATGTCAGTTACGGTATGAAGTCCAGTTATCATCATTCTAACTTCTCTCTTGCCAATCGAAATGTTTACACTTTAAAGATCAATAACAACAAAATAAAATAAACGTAATTAGGAGTATAGTAGAGGATAAACTAACTAATAGGTAAGCATTGATTATAAGAATTAAGAAAAACTTACACTTCACTAAAGAGATAAGCTTGTCCATGGTTGCATTGAAAAGTCT